AGCTTTTCAGCTAATACAAAATTCTCAGGCATTAAGGGGCTTATATTCTGGCTCCTTTTTATCTACCCAGTAATTCACAAAAGCCATAGATACAAATCAGAAATATTTGTTTATGATTCTTAGAATAGAAGTTATGAAAATTACTCCTATTTTCCGATATTCAAATGTGGTAATGTAACATACTGTAGATTACTTGGCATTAAAAGATTGCCAACTCCAAAGGAGAATCCATATATCAGTCTAGGAAGAACTTCAAACTCTATTCATAATCTCCAACATCCCTCAAAACCTTGGGATTATCCTTTCCTTTCTACTCTGTCTGTCCTAATTCTACCCTCTTGGGTCTGGGTCAGTTAGCACTTTTCCCCCCAATAATAAAACTCTTAGGTTGTTAAGAGAAATCAGAGTGAGTGTTCAATTATTGTGTATATTGAGTATATCAACAGTTCAATTATTCACATACTGTATATTGCTTAATTAATTCCTTGTTCTTTTCTCCACAATGCAAAAGTTCAGATTAAATCTTTCTCTTTTCTGGTCTCTAAAAATAGTTGGCTATAATTTAAAAATAATAGCAACAGTTTTCCTGTGGTCATATTTTTCTTGAATTACTTCATATTCTGCATCATTTTGTGCTTCCTGAAGACTGGGATCAAAGCTTCCTTTTATTTTTATTTCCCCCAGTTTAGGACTGAACACATAATAAGTAGTAAGTGAATACGAATAGAGTATGATTCATAAAGGAGAATCAATATAACATTTAAAATTGTGTTATAACTAAATGTTATATTGATGCTCAACTTAATATTCATGGGCATGGTCTGAAAAAGTCTTACTCTTCAGTTTCCTCATTAAAAAGGAGGTCAAAATCCCCATTGTGCTTTCTATGTTTTTGTTCCCATTATTGCTTTAACCAGAGAATTGGGTAAAAGGTCCTGCAAATAGTGCAGTTGCATAGAACCCTGGCTTGGTTGCCTGTATAGTTGTAATTTAGCAACTTTGCAATGGGGAGGTCACAAAATGGAAAACATAGTTTGTTTTTTTTTTTTTTTAGCAGACCATCCTGATCACAGAGGTGTAACATGTTTTTCTCTGTCAAAAAAAACAGCAAATTGCAGGCTTCCATGATATTCAGTGTAATAGTTCTTTATGCATTATAAGGATTAAAGCTTGATTATATTCCAAATGAGTAGGAAATTTTAAGTCTCTGGAAAGCAATGCATCACCACAGCCCTCCATTAAGACTGTGACTTTGGGGCAGATGGTGACACTCGGGTGCTATTCAGACATTGAGGGAGCAGAGGTTCCTGCAGAGCTCTGAACAACATCAACAATTGTGTCAAAATAGCGGTAAATGCTTTTATTTAATAAGATGGTTATTCAGCACCAGAGGTTGTAATGTCTGTCTCCTCACTGTAACTTCTACTTCACCAGTCTAGACTGAATTTAAATCCATGAACTATTCAATCCCTGCTCCACCTAGCTGTCAAAATTATCTTCTCAAAAAATAAATGTGAACCATGTGGCTCCCTGCTACATTCAAAATACAACCAAATTCTACAGCTCAGAAATCAGTGCCTTTTACAATGAAGCCTCCACTGCTCTCCTTGAAATTTAATCAACAAATATTGACTTCTTGTCTACTGTGTATACTCACTGTGCTGTCCAAGCATCTGGTTCCACATTTTTCCTCAGACATGCCCCAAACTCTTCTGCCTTTTGTCTTTTTGACCGGTCTGCTCTGTATGGCAAAAGCATTTTGTTCTAGGAACCTGGCAAAATTCTACCTATCCAGATACGTTTCAAAAACTGACTTCTCCTGCCTGTATGCATGCAGAGAATAGATTTCTAGCCCATCCTGCTCTCTCCCATTCAATTGTGCCTTCTCAGTGGTGAAGGGCCATGTCTTCTTTGTATTCCCCACAACACTTAGCAAATAAAATAAAGGGTCCTGCAAATAGCGGATTGAATTAAAATCTTAAGAATAGATTTGATAATTTATACATTCAGTTTGTTCATATTGTTTGCCAGAAGTGATTTAGGAGAACTGGATCAAATATTTATGAACTGATTGCCTGGTCCCTTATAACTGTGGCTTTGGTAATGGTTTTACTCCAAATTAGTCAAATTGCCAGGTTTATTAAATGGGGTCTCAGGACAGAGGGCAAGATAATTAGAAGCATTTTCATTATAGATGTTTTAATTTAAATTTTAAAGCAATACTATTGTTTTTAAAACATGATATGATTACATGTTTATGTACTCTCCTGAAATGCAGTCATCCAAAAACAGTAGTCTATTTAAAACATGATATTATATGTTACATAAAGTGTACACATAAAAATTTGACTACTTTTATCTACAAATAGCTGTATATATAAAAAAATCTCAACTAGTTAAGAACATACTTATGTCATATTTTGGTATGTATAAGATGTTAAACATCAAAATCCTTGTGATTTTTTTCTTCTCTCCTCATCTCTGAGGTTTGGCTGGCTCATTTTTTCCTCTTTATCTTCCGATTCAACCACATTGAATCACCCATCTCCAGCACACCATCCCAGGGCAGCAGCTTCCAGAACATTCCAGTTAAAGCCATACTCTATTTCTACTGAAGCCCCCAGTCCCATTTGTCTTTCTTGCTCTTCTGCACCACTTGGACCCCTAAGGTGAGACCTCAACATTCTTTGAATGGTTCTTCTTTGGAGTACAGAGCAGGCCTTAGGAGTACTTACTGAGATTTTCTCTGAGAACAGTTCTGTCTCTCTGACTTCTAGAATCTTCCCTCCTCCCAGAAGGTATTTACAAACCTAGAGGGCTTCCCAAATCTCCCTTCTAATGACAATTTTATTTCTCCTCCTAAAGCAGATACATTTATGGGGAGAGGAGGAAGAGTGGGACAAAACAGTGTTCCTTCTTGCCCATCCATTGTCATGCAGTGGTGTTCTCTCTAAACAGAACTCATTTAGTTTTCAAAATTGTTGAGAAAGGTGATAGAAGATCTCTTTTACATTGCACAGTTTTGATGCTACCAAATATTTTAAGGATTTATTTTTATAAATTGTTGTAAGTATACTAAAAGTGTCTTCAAGATAAGTATTTTCTTATTCCAAAGCATAATTTTAAAATGTCTTGGGTGTATATGGGTTTGCATGGAGTAAGGGATTAGTTTTGTATTTCTCAAGTTTAAGGGACAGCATATGTGCAAAGAGGGATAGAGCAGGTATTTGTGAAAAACATTCAAGATACATATTTATACAAATGACATTGACCAAGAGTGGTAATGTCTAAGGGGCATAAGCAAAAATTGTCATAACTTTATCAGGTTCAAAAAAGAAGGTCTGTTTCTTTTCTTTTTTCTTTCTTTCTTTGGTGCTGGGGATCGAACTCAGGGCCTTGTACATGCAAGGTAAGCACTCTACCAACTGAGCTATATCCCCAGGCCCTAGGTCTGTTTCTATGAAGGAAAATCATTGGTAATTTTGGAGATATTTTTACTTTATATATCTGATCACTCAAAGGAATGTTTATAAATAATCCTAAGAAAATATTTTTAGTGGTACTTTTTGCTGTCAAAAGTAATATTTTTGTATCACATTATCCTGTTTCTGTTTTATGGCATTTACGTTATTAAATTCATATAAAGGAATTATCAACCCAAACGAGTGTAACATGATCTAAATATTTTGCATATAACTTAGCCATAGATAATTGAAATTGATTTAATGAGATGGTGACTAATGCAGTAGGTAATCATCCGTTATTTATATAGTCTCTCTCATTAATTGCAGAGTAAACAAGGATGGAAGGAATAATTTGGAACAAAGTGTTTAATTTGGGTTACATTGGCAAATGCAACAAAGTGAGTTCATCTTTACTCTGTCACTACTATGCATTTATTAAATCTAGAGTGAGAGGGATTTTAGAAATTATCTGGCACAAATTTTTCACTTCTCTGAGATTGAGGTCCAGTCAAATCAAATGACCGCCTTTATGTTACAGAGATGATTAGGGATTGGGCTGAAATTCCATCCACAGAATTCCTAACTTTGGGTCCAGGACTTTTTTTACTGTATCATATGATCTTTAAAGTAAAATCCAATACAAGTGAGTTTAGATATCTGGGTTCACTACCTATGGTTTTCCAAAGCTTCCCATAGTGTTTAGGAAAGAATAAACTGATATTAGGAAGTATATGACAGCATTTAAATTGGATAATTGGGGTGGGAGTAAATATATATTTGAATCTCTCTCTTCAGCCAATATAGAAGGAAAATTTCATCCAAGATCTCCCTACCAGCTGAGTTCCACTGTCTTTCTCCAATTCTCTCTGTCACTATGCTGCTCCTTTATATTTTCATGAAGTCAGTGGGGGAAGGGGTATTCTTTTCACTTCTCTATAAAGCTAAGGTACTGCTATTATTCTGTAGTATCTGGTTCACAAGATTTCCTATTTCATTTGGCTGAATGCCTTGTAGATACATAATATAAGTAGATATTAAAAAGAAAAGACTTGGCAGACAAGAAACGAGAATGTCCATGAATGTTTAAGACTAATGTCCAATCGTGACTATGGTATGCATGTTGAATTTCTACAGCTTGTGAAAAACTAAAGAATATCCCCAAATTACTTCTATGGAGGAGTAGGACAGGCAGACTAACTTCATTCATTACTGTAACATAATTACTGAAAGCAAAGCTAAATAATGCAGTGACCATTTTATGTAGCAATATAATGTGAGAAGTAATATGTAAATATTTACAATACTATTAAAACAATTTTTTAAAAGTGGCAAAGAAACCAAACTCACATAATAATATCTTCCAATTTTTTTTACTGGAGTTTTAAAAGAATTATTATTTTCAGTTTGACATGACATAAAAGAAAGTAATTGTTTTAATCATTTTTCCTACTTTTAATATATGAAAAGTTAATAAAACATTTTATATTGAGTCAAAATTTCTTATTACTACTTGAAAATAAAAGTGTATAAACTTACGGCCCTGATGCTTTCAAAATGTCCACCTTCTTTCTCGAAATCAATAGGCTGTCCTTTTAGCGTCCAGTAGAAAGTGACATCCAAACTAGCATCATGAATTGCTTTGCAATTAAGGACTATACTTTCTCCAACAGTTAACTCTGTTCTTTTAGGAGTAAGTTCTATCCTTGTAGGTTCTATGGAAGCAAAAATATATTAATTAAAATAATCAACAGGGTTTTCCCCATGCAGCCTGTATCATTTTGAATAACAGAAAAAAAAAAAAAAAAAACGTATATAAGGATTCTATACAAATACAACTGCTCCAGATACATACACCAAATTTTTCACATCTTTATTATTAAGTGAAATCTTAGCAAACTATTATTAAGTGAAATCTTAGCTTTTAGGAAGCTAGGATATTTTATTATGCTTTTGTAGATGACTAATGAATTTGGAGTCCCTGGATTTAGGAAAAAACAAACAAAAATGACAAGACACTACAAAGAAACAACAAAACTAGAAGCAACATTTGGCATCCTGGAAGAAGCATTAGAAAAGAGAAGCTGCAGTCTCTCTGAGCAACTTAAAGGATCATCAAGTACATAAAAGGATTAAAAATGCTAAGTAATAGGGCTGGGGTTGTGGCTCAGTGGTAGTAGAGCACTTGCCTGGCATTTGTGAGACACTGGGTTCAATTCTCAGCACCCCATATAATTAAATAAACAAGTCCATGGACAACTTAAAAAGTATTTTTAAAAAATGCTCCTTATCTCAGAAGGAAGAATTGCAGGGATGTTTGTGCCTTAAAGGCTCCTAGAGGCTATAAGGCAAAAGAAAGAACCTCCCTCCAAATTACTATCTCAGTGGGGATAAAAATATTATTCTACTACTATACTACTTATACTTACTTTTCATTCCACAAAACACTCTGAATAGAAAAGAGTAGGATGGGTACCTTCTGGATGATTATAAAATTTCACTTTGAATAGATTATGGTTGGTTTAATTAAACTATATAAAGAAAGGCAAAAACACTGAATGAAAATGTTTTTGGAGGAAAAAAATATGTTTAACTACATGGTTTGGTTAAATTTTGAAAATGACACATTTTTACTGGGATTAGAGTAACTAATACAGCTATGCATGTAAGGGTGAAATGAGTAATTAAGTGACTGCAATGTGACATGTTTTAAATGAAGTAGGGGGTAATGGAGACACGATTTTGATTTTTTTTTACTAATTAGATTCATGGGTATAGATGCCACAAGAAATATGACATGTTGATTAATAATTAGCTTGATTTTCCTACTCTACCTCTATTGTTCACAAGAGTACAGTCTGAGAAAGCACCACTCCTCATCATCTATCACTTGCTTTAATATCCAAAGTCCTGAGTAGTTCCTGAGAAGAAAATGAAATCCTAAAACAGGAATGCCACTATAACTATTAGCATTCTAGAGCTCAGATACTCTGTGTGGCGTTCCAAGTTCTGGCTTTATTGAATAAGACAGATGAACATAATATACTGTAGTTGGAATTTTGTGGAAATTGAAGTATACTGAATCACTAAATATCCCATTTAACTCATGATTTACAAAACCTATTATTATGATCATGAAAGTCTGTGGGATGGGCACAGTGGTACACATCTATAATCCCAGAGGTTTGGAAAGATGAGGCAGAAGGATCATGAATTTAAAGCCAGTCTCAGCAATTTAGCAAGGCCCTAAACAACTTAGCAAGATCCTGTCTCTAAATAAAATATAAAAAGAGGTGGGGATGTGGCTTACTCTGGGTTCAATCCCCATTCCCCTCCTTAACCTCTCCACCAAAAATGGTCTGTGGACCCAGCATTACCTCATTATGAAAAGAACAAAATTGATTAGCACACAGAATAAGACATATGATTGGAAGATTGGGTTGGATCCCAGTAACATATATGATATAAATGAAAACATCTTTTAAATTATGTTCTCTCCTACACTTAATGTTTGCCTTTCTTCTAAACTATCATAGAGCTGGGTATTTTGATTACATTTGCATTTCTAAAGACACAGAAAAATTAACAGTTTTATTAGCACTAAGTATGTTCACAATATTGTAAATCATTACTGCTGTCCACAGAACTTTGTTCATTTTCCAAACCTAAATAAATGTCATATTTTTATGGTCAAAGTTTGATTTGGTATATAATACATGCACAATGGGAAAAAAAGTCAACGATATAATTCAGTTGTGAAAAATGTCTCTTTGCTTTGCTCCTAAGATATGAGATTATTCTTTTTACTACTAAACAATAATATATAGTCTCAAAAACATGTTCTTGGCTTGAAATCTAGTTGTATTAGAACCAGAGAACATATATATTAGAAATAATATTTATCATACTAAAAGTGTAAGTATATAAGAAATTCCATTGGTGCAAACCTCAATGAGCAGCACTGGCACCAATTTATCTGATCTATACCCCTGGCTCCACTACTCATAGATATCCTCTTTTTGATACTCCTCTGGGTCTAAATCCCTAGTTGATATGGCAACAAAGGAATATTCCTTACTGATGTTAAAATTAGTTTTAGTACAGAAAATATTTTTTCTTGTGGTGTTAAGGATGGAGCCCCAGGCCCAATGCACACCAGGCAAATGTTCTACCACTGAGCTATATCCCCAAACCAAGTGGAGGGAAATTTCTTTTATGTTGCTAGTGTTAATATTTTGAGACATTTCAAAAAAAAAAAAACTTTATAAGTTTTGTTCAAAGCAAAATATTGAATTTTAACCAATAATTGGTTCTTTCCTGCTAGGTTTCCTAAATGATAGAAAGTGACAATTTGGGTGTGTTAATTCTGTTTGTAATATGGTTTAGAAGCAGGCATGTACACAGTTAAGTGCAAACATACACATGTGCATGTCATACTTATTTTCTTATATGGGCATGAAACTAGGCTTGTAAGACATTAGCCACATTTTCTTACCTTTTACAGATACAGATGCTATTATTTCAGCAGAACCAAAGATGTTTTCCCCTCGGCAAACGTACTTCCCTTCATCTGACTTAGAAACATTTAGTATCCGTAGGCTCCCGTCTGGAAGAATAGCTATTCTGAAAATTATTAAAAAAGGTTTTCTCCTGTTTTACTGCAAATCAACTAAATGATAAGAAACTCTGATGAAGTCTCAAAACACTTGTAAGGTGATAATAAATAAGATAAAGCATCACTGTGAAAGTAAGCAGTGACAGTAGAAATGGTTTATCCTTTTAAGACTTTATGCAATAAAGCCACTGAATATCTTCTAATATTCAAAAGAGGTAGGGAGGTACAGGTTATTTTTCTTTTGACAGTTTTTGACAGTTAATTTTAAAACTGGTAGAAAAAGGTGACCCTGAATTTGGTTATAACAACTTGTTCCTAGGATATCACCTAGCAATATTTTAATATTAAGCTTGGGTATTTTACCTCAAACCAAGAGTGACCTCCAAAATCAAATATAAAAAGAAATAGCATAAAACATAGAGGAGGACAAGTACAGAACATAAAATTAATTGTATACAGCCAGGAGATGATTTATGGTGGTTTCTCTGTATTGCCAAAGGTACAGTAAGGATATGAAAATGCAACCTGGTAACTCAGCTGCTCACACCGCAGTTTTTAAACATAAGAACATGATATCCGAGTTTGCATTTGGTCTCTTTAAAGACCTTTGTTAAAAATGGACCTTCATTTTTATATAAAGGTGAAAAATTAAAGCATTATTAAAAATTTTTAGAAGTTCAGTGAAAATGAGGCTGACATTTGGAATTACCACATCCTCCTGTGTATTTATCATTTTAGGAATTTATAGATTTCAAATTTAATTAGTACTTGGGTCCTTTTCTCCTTTCTGTGCTCTTGAAGTGTAACCCATTATTTCACCAGTATATCAGCCTACAAAAGTGAACTGAAACAGAACAGAAGAAACTGTTGTGGTTTTAGTTGACATATCATTGGAGTTTGGACTGACTTCTTTTAGAAAAGAGGGAAAAATAGGCTGTGCTGCATGGGGTAAGAACCAGTGACCCTTCTGAATATGAAATACTAAAATTGAATCCTCCTGTTCATGAGAACAGTTTATTACATAGCAATATGATATTAAACCAATAAAGATTCCAAAATAATGGCTAAATCTGTTCGGTCAAGATTTTTGATACTATTTTAAAATGTACATTCAGTCTTGCTAATCTCTCAGACCTGATGGTTATTTACAATATTGAACTTCATACAATTGTTATTAAATTGTAGATTGTTGAAATATTGCTTATGAATATATACTTACATATTGCCATTAATAAAGATAACACTGAAAAAACATGGTTTTCATTATGGATCTAATTTGATTTGTAATATGTAAGAAGAAAAACAAATTTAGAAACAAGTCTGACTAGGAAGAGAAAGGTTGATTTTGTAGTTTATATCTAAGAGAGATTATCTGGAGACATTTGGAAAACAATGCTTCTAATAATATGTATATTATTATATATAGTCCATTCAAGATGGTCAATGAAAATTTCCATTCTTTTTTTTCTATAAAAATGCTATTCTGTGAACTTATTCCATTTCAAACTCAATGGTAAACATTCTACCAGAGATATATTTGAAAGCAAAACTTACATTCATTGCAAAGAATTCTTCTTGTGAAAATTATAGACTTTGAATTTACCTAAATACTATAATTTTTGCTGATTACTAATATTTTGAAAATATTCTGGATTTTACCAACTGGAGTAAATTATAATATAGTAGGGAAGAAATTTGGCTTAAATATTCACCTGCTTCAAAGAAATAAATGTGTCTTGGACACTAGCAATATTTCAGCTCTTGGTTTAAGATGAATGCTTTTTCACTGACAAGAGGCAGCATATTAAATTCTCCTTTTGTAGATAGTTTACCAACTCCCAGGTCTGTACGTTAGACTACTAATCCAATTGAAGGGATGAAGAATTTTGAATATCATAATGTTTATCTGTCAGGTAACAGTGTCCTTTACTCCAAATCCTGTCTTCTGATTCAAATTGCAAATCTTTATCAGATGAGCTTTTTTTTTAATCTTAGAAAAAGTAGATAATGAGTGTGATTTACATTATAATGCTGGTTATTACACACATAATTACTTAGATAATTGAATGTTGAATTATTTCTCTCCTGGAGATTCCTAACCTTTTAGTCTTCTCCCCTCTGCTGTCAGAATTTTTCAGATTTGGGGACTAATTCTGCTGAGACATCCTTAGATTCAGAGTAGGGTAGTAAGGGAAGGGAGGGAGGTAGGGAAGGTTTTGTGGGGTAAGGAGAGAATTTAAGAGTTCAAACCAACTTTCTAGAATTAAGAGACAGTCATGCTTCCTATATTCTGGATTCTAGACTTGGTGTTAATTTCTGCCTAGATATGGAATTGTCTTGGTTCTCACCTTGCCACTAGTTCCTGACACTCTGCCTTGTTAATTCGTCTGGGACACTATGGTGCTTAACTCACCTCACATGCGTTCATTGTTAACCCCTTGACACATATCTCTATTTCCAAATTTCAGGGCCACTTCCTGGACCCTTCATGTCCATGTTTGGCTTCCCTATCAGACACCCCACAACTTGGTATAGACCTTTCTAAGTACACTGCCTTGGAATACCATCTGTTTACCTTCTGCCATATTACTTAGTGATCATGTTTTGACTCTCAGATTAGATTCTTCTTTTATCTTTTTAAAACTGAGACACAGAAATGCAGAATTGCACATAGTAATGGGTACCATGTAATGTTTTGATATGTACTTCATAATTATCTTTCATTTTTAAACAACAGGAATTTATTTTCTCAATTTGACAGGCTAAAAAGTCCAAGATCAGATGCCAGCATGGTTGACCTCTGGTGTGGGCTCTCTTGCTGGTTTGCAGACTGCTGCTTTCCCACTGTGTGCTCATATAACTTTCCCATGGTGCATGTGTGTAGAGAGAGATCTTGTCCTCTTCTAAGGTCACCTATCCTACCCTATGATGTTATTCAACCTTAATTGCCTCTTAAAAACCCTCACTGTTGGGAGTCACAAATGAATTGTGGGCTTGTCTGAGTCATGCCTAAGCAGAGGTGTGTCCCTTGGAGAAGTCTTAGGGTCATGTCACCCATATGAGACTGCTTCATTGCCTTGGCAATGTCCTTCTCAAAGAGAATTCTGTGATACTGTGAAATTCATTGGTTCAAATGCAACTTCACAGGGAGTGGAAAGAGATACCAGTGTGCCCAAGTAATCTTGAGGTGCCAGCTGCCTGGAGGAGGAAGAATTATTGTGCAAGTGATAAGTCCTCAATCGGGCCAACTTCCCCACAACCTCATGCTTCTTGTTTATCTTAAAGAACCCTTCCTCAGGATAAATTCCTTTGGTGTGTTTCAGTATAAATCATTTGTCTTTTCCCTTTGTTAGGATCAGACCCATCAGGTCTTTTTCACTCCTAAAGCCCCTGCTTTAACTAATTCCTTGTGTCTTTTCTCTTCATTTCTTAATACTGTTTTTTTCAGACTTTTATTTCCAGCCAGCCTACCCCTTCTTATGGTTTACTCATTCCCTCCCCATGCAGGACATGTGAGCCCTCACAGCAGTGTATTAATACTGGTAGTAGAGCTTCTACACATGCATTTGGTGGGGGACACAATTTTGTTCATAGCCCCTCATCAACCTGCTCCCACATTCCCAGGTTAAGTTAGGGATCATTTCTTCCTTAGCATATTGCCCTCATTAGGAAGTCAAGGAATACTCAGCCTACCATATTTTCATCTCTCTAATCTTCTGGTGCCTCCTATTGCACCATTGCTTGGGGCAAGGAAACCCACTGATTGAGTTCTCAGGAGACAGCCTCATGGGACATAATATAGCATACAGAAGGATGGAAAAAGAATTTGTAGTGGAGAGAAGATGCTTGATCAAGGCATGCCACAATAGGTTTTTTTAAAATATTTTTGTTTTAGGTGGGCACAATATCTTTGTTTTATTTTTATGTGGTGCTGAGGATGCAATCCAGTGCCTCATGCATGCTAGACAAGCACTCTGCTATTGAGCCACAACCCCAGACCCACAATATTTGTTTAAAGATAAAAATTAATTCGTGGAACTTGTAACTTAGCTGATCCAACCTCATTTCAAATATTCAAGAACTAAAGCCCAAGAAAGTTAAAATGACTTGGTTAGGCTCATCAGTTATTAATAAGAAATATAATTTGTGGGTGATTTCCCCTGTGTCAGTCACCTGTGTGTATTCAGGATAGTTTCTATTGCTGCATAACAAATTACTCAAACTTGGTAAGTTAAAACAATACCTAATAATTAACCGAACATCCATTCATTTCTTCAGAATGTTGAGTGTCTCAAAATGCTGAAATCCAGGTGGCCTGGGTAAAGTTTTACCTGGATGCTCTGGAGAAAAGTCGTCTTTAAAGAGCTCATTCTTGTTTTGGAAAGAAATCATTTTGTGTTTTTATTATTAATTTTTAAATTTTTTGTGGGCTGTAGGGTGGGAGCTGTTTTCAGCTTCTAGATGTTGCTTGTGTTCCTTGGCATACATGTTCATCTGCCAGATTAGGTTTCCTTCTGATATCACAGTGCATGTATCATGGGATGATTAATAATTAGTACCATAAGCTTTAAAAGTACAGAAGGTTGAGTTTGAATCAGTGCCATTGACTAGTGGGTGTGTAATGTTAATCAAAGTTATTTAATCTCTTTCCTTAAATGTAAAACCGTTATACCTAACTAGTTTAGAGAGAGATATATTCCTCTTATAAGGTCATTTTGCATATATTATCTAGTTAATATTTTTAAAGTATTATATTTTACTGGTTATGGTAAACATAATCTAAAATTTATTAAAAAATATAAATATGTGATAAATGTTAAAAGTGAAGATGAAGACTGCCAAGAAATTTTTTAAACTCATATACCTGAAATATTTATGTAGTAGGTAAGTTTTTTCTTGGGGAGTAACATTTGCATTAAGAATAGAAGGAGCATTTGTTTGAGCTCATCCTTTTGTGTGGAAAAGCAGAGGCAATACCATTTGCAAAGGCTGAGGTCAGTTGAAATGA